AAAGAACATGTTTGTTTACACAATGAGCCAAATTTTGTCTGAAGACAGACCTACCTTTCACAAGAGAGTCATAAACAGATATGCGTAATATGGATAGACATATGTCCTATAAAAATATCATCATAGTTTATAGACTGTTTAGAAATAATTTGGACAATGTGAGCTGGGAGAGCTTACATGTGGTTATTTTTTTTTAATTACTAATATACTTTTTAAAATTTTAATTGCGACTATAGAAAACAAATGCTTGGATCTGGCTTCTGGTGCCTGTGTTGCCATTAATAATCACCAGTTGTCCCCAAGAGACAAAAACAGCAAGAAACCTCACGTAACAGGGATGTTGTAAAAAGAAATTCATTAATACTGTATATGCAGAGCACTCAGATACCACAGCAAGAAACAGCACAGAAAAGTCTATGAGGAAATTAATCATTCTGCATTCAGTGGAGGATCTGGCAGATGTGCAATGAAGAAAGCCTAGAGACATACATTAAATATGAAGATAAAAAAAGATTCTAGCCCTTACCAGTAGAAATAATATCCCCTGAATGAACATCATCTGCCTTAAGCATTAAATGTTTGATGTATTCTCATTCAATATAAGGGAAAACCCTCTGATTAATATGGTAAAATTACAAGTACCAGCCAGGTATTATGTGCAAAATACAGAATCTGATAATGTAATTAAAGTCTATTGTAAATATAGGATATCTATCTATCTATAGATATAGATATAAATATAGGATATATATATACTATGGATTAGTATTTCCTCATTTTGAATGCTTAGTTTTGCAACTAAAAAAGACTCAGTCCAGCAACTATTCGCAAATGTACATTATCTCAGCAGTGAGAGAATCCTGTCACCACAGCTGACATAGGTGGTATGTGCTAACACAATAAATCCATCCATGTTTCACACTGCAGCCACTGGACTCCCATAAACAAGCTCCCCTGCTTTACAGCTACTTCAACTAAGTCAGGATAGCACAGACAGGGCAAAAAAAAGTTACTGGAGTGATGACAAACCTGCAGGTTCACAGCTAGCTCAGATATCTGCACTAGCATTGCAACTGTGAATCAATAAAATTCAAAGGATTTCACAAAAAGGACGTGTGGAGAGGATCCTCTAGGTAGGATGCACTGTTGTGTTTGAAAAGATATATAAAAACTGCTTTCTACAGTTCTTCAGAAACGGGGAGAAGAGGCAAGGGGACTCAATGCAAGCCTGTCTAGAAAAAGGAAAGATGTGCTGGAATAATCTGGCAAAAATAATCTCAACACCAGTGTTGAGATGCAGCAGTACAGGAGCATACCATGGTTCTTTGTACAAAAAAGCCAAAACACTGCATGAAAACATATGGATGACCAAGTACTGGTCTTCAAGCAATCCCACATGTTTAAACTGATTCCACTTTATCGAGGCTACTTAAAGCAGACAGGGCATGCTACCTGAAGATTCTCTTAAGGTCCCTGAGCAGTATATTAACAAGTACATCTGTGGCCAACAGCCAGATTATCCCTCGTCCTGGCCCCAGGAACCAGTCTGCACCACATGAGGGCACAACACCGGGTTTCTGATCACCCAGTCTGCTGAAAAGAAAGGTGAGACTCTTCTACCCTCTTCATGCAACAGCAATTCTCTCTCATATTCAGTAGAACAGACTGGAGACAGTCTGATTCATGTATACAATCTGCCTTGCAAGGAGCCAAATCTATGCCCACCCAGCAAGGTGAAGGCTGACTCAGAAAGCCATGGAATCCCAGAGTCCCACTGTCTGTGTGCTTTCTGTCCATACTACTGCCCACGGCTTGGGTGCCAAGCACGTTTGCCGTTCAGAATCAATCAGAGTAGTTTATCAGGTGAGGGACCCAAGAGTAGAGCTTGGACTCTGCTGCCAAGTTCAGACCGACACCACAGGTGGGGACTTGGGTCTGCTCAGACAAATTTTCCATCCTGAGATGCTTCACAACTTGGCTGAGCTACTGATTTGTTTACTGCTTTCTTCACCAAGAGAGGAATGTATCTGTTAAAAAGAGTACATGGCATATTTTAAAGATAAATCTGACCAGATGCAGGAAAAAAAAAATTAGTTGTCTTCATGGATATAAGTCCAAGTGATAATGCACAGCTCTCTTCCAATGATCAGTTCTGACTGATTTCTGAGGATGCAGGTGGCCAGCCCCTCACAAGCAAAAAAATCAATAATTTTAGTTGATAGCTTTTCCAGGATACCATAGCAAAGATTAATTAATTAAGGTATCTATTTTGTTTTTTTTAAGCTAGCCTCCCAATTAGCTTCTATTTGACACAAAAAGCACATACCAAAAACTTCTCATTCAAGGTCTACTCATTTCAACATAAAATTAAGACAACTAAATCTGACTGAATTTAAAACTAATTTATTTGTTTTCAGGAATGCAAAACCAAAGAAAGATTTATTTAGCTTCCATGGAAATAAAAACCAAACAACAAACCTGAAGGAGTGAAAGAATTGCAACAGAGCTGGCAATCACCTTGCCATAACCAAGACATTCTAATAAAAATATCAGTGTAGAAATTAGCTGACCAAAATATGGAATGAGAAAAAAATAATCACAGTGAGAAAATCTAGATATATTGATATAGTAATATTGAAGTTTGAGAAAGGCCAATAGTACACAATGATATATACAATTCCAGGGTTCAAAGATTATAACAAAACTCATAAGAATTACTAGCAACATTCTCCAATCCTTTGTACCTCAGAGCACAAATATATCAATCATTTTATTTAAACACTGTAAGATTTCCTGTCTCAGAAATCTAAAAAAGGCATAAGGGAAACTGAAGACAGTAAAATTGTAAAAGCTTGTGTTCTGGGGTTTTTTTAAGCTTGCAGGTTAAATTAATTCCTACAGAAATAGAAAGAAGTGTTAAACATTTCTCTCCCTCTCTAGCTGAAAAATTCTCCTAATCTTTTTTTGAAAGAGGATAATTTTTGGTACTGGGCATTTTTAATCAATGATACTTAAAATATCTGTTGCCAGTACATTGATATGAATATACAGGCCTACCTGTCCTATTATCTGACTCATAGGAATTTGGGGTATTAGAATCACAGGGAAAAGAAACAACTTTTTGAAATATAATTTCACTGACATTGATGTTAAAATACCTATTTCTTTTTGAGCACATGAGAAAAACACTCCACATATATATGACTATTTGATATATTCTTATTGGTTATCAAAGGATCAATATCTCTTTTGGTTATGTAGCAGAAATCATCAAATCCTTGGAATAGGTAGTGTCATGAAATGATGAGGATCTATACTTATTAATTTTTTAATTAAATTTAAGTTTATTAAATTTAAATAACATGTCAATCTTGATTAAAAGCCAGTCTCCCTCAGGGATAAGGACTTCCATTAGTAATATTCTTCTATTTGTGCAGTGAGTAGATTACAAGGAGTTTAAACAAATACAGATTGATTTTTGTGGGAAGAGGGTGCCCTTTATTCTTTACCATGAGCAGTCATGCTATGTTAGGGTGCTACGACACATAGCAACTCCTTTGCCAAACCAAATTTTTTAGTTTCCTTTGTAATCCATACATGTATCATTGTCAAAAATGATCATCATCAAGATACAGACGTTCTTTTTGATCTTTGAAAAGTGTATCTTACACTTAAAATCATGCTTTTATCAGATATAGATAACTAAGAGGAGAATTGTGAATGAGATTTCAAGAACTCCTAAGAGAGACTAATTTCTTTCAGCAATTCTTAAATTCTCTTTACTATTTTTTCCACATGTCTTGGGTTGCAATGTAACCAAATGTAACCAAAACTATGTATTCTATCTGTTAAAACCAGGTAGGACAGTTTTCTTTATCTCTTTCATGACCCATCCCTCATAACCATGTTAATGAGCCATTGAGTCTCACTGCATGACTGATAAAATTACATCATCCCATCGGGAGATGCTCCATCCAGGGGGAGCAGCCAAGCATCTAAACCCGTGTATCTTTGGAGACTGGGAACACCACAGCAGCCTTTCTCTGCTGAATTCCCAAAAGAGAGAGACTGGACCCATCTACACCACCAGACCTTCAGAGGAGAGCTACACCCTTCTACGGGATCATTACTTCAACAGAACCACATCCGTCACTTCAGGACTGCAGCCACCATTTAATTGGACTGCTACCAACACCCGGACCAACAGGGTGTCAGGTTGTACCCTGACTCTGGCAGTGGGTTGTTTTATGTTGGTTTTCTTTTTTGTACTACTACATTTTTATTTTAATTTTCCTAATAAAGAACTGTTATTCCTATTCCCATATCTTTGCCTGAGAGCCCCTTGATTTCAAGATTATAGTAATTTGGAGGGGGTGGGGTGGTTTACATTCTCCCATTTCAAGGGAGGTTTCTGCCTTCCTTAGCAGACACTGTCTTTTCAAACCAAAACAACGTGGTTTTACATAAAAAAAGTTCATTCATGTAGTGCCAATGTGTAATTCCTCTTTAGACAGGGATTTTTTAGCCTCAAAATAATGATTAGGAAAGAAGAGACCAAAGAAATACACACAGCACAGAAAACCTTGTCAGCTGGTTAAATCTGACCACTATAAATGGTATATTTTCCAGTGCTTCAGAATCATCAGTACCATACACATTGTTCTATTAATTTACTTTGCCATTGTTCAAAAGAGGAAAAGTATCTTGTCCCACAAGGTATTAGCCCAGACTCTCAGTTTATGTTGCCTTCTATTAAAATGGCTACAGGGAATTTAAACACCTATCTAATGTACTGCTTTTTATAGGTTTGGTAACTGCAAACATCAGCTACAGTAACAGCTTCAGATTTCTGACATCTATGAACCAGAAAAAGCTGAAGGATTATAGGTATAGTGTAATACCAGTAGTGTGCATTTTATGTACCATTCGAGTCTGCATTTTAAATAATAGCAACATCACACAGTCGTAATGGCATAACAGCATAAAGACCTTGGTCTTACCCTTTGTTTTCAAGTCGTTTAATACCTTTGATTCCACAGGCAGTTTATCGCTCACTAGTTTTATCTCAATATTTCGGGACGCCAGTTCGAGCAATTTTTCAAAAAGACGCTGACCCTGGGAAGAATGTTAAAGGAAAGCAGAAGCTTTTAGATACAGAATTGATCAAAGTGCATATCAACAAATTAAAAAAGCATGTTAAAATAAAAACACTGTAAACAACATCCAAGTAACTATGTTCCTAGATATTATTAAACCTACCCTAAAGGTTTGCAACTCAAACTCATTTTGGAGAAATACTGTTCCAAAGGCCAATAAGGTATCTTGCTTTTCCCAGATTGTGCAGTACTGCCAAGGTGACAGGTGTCAGGCAGAAAATGAAGCGTCCAGGGCTTTTATGCTGCATAAGCACATTTTGACATTAACTTTCTTCTAAATAATCAGTCTGTTGACTTAGTATTAAAAGCTCCAGGAAAACAGTTTATTACATTTTTTTCTGTATTGAGTGATACTTTTGCAAGTGGTTCTAACCATAGTACAACTCATTCCCAAGTAGTTGCATGCTCATCTTTAGATGAATTATACCAAGAAGGAAAACAATGATCTATAGGTATTTTATGTGCCTTTACTTTTTATCCTGCTGTAAAATGTTACTATTTAAACCCTATTTCTAACACAGAATAAGAAAAGGAAATTCATACTGAGCTGGATACATGTCAAAACAGAAATGAAGATATTTGTTTCATATGAAAAAAATTTAAATCATTATGTTTTTCCATATCCAAGAAACAAACAAGAATTAAAACTTCTGATTGCATTGTAAATGTTGAAATTTTAGGTTCAATATTTTAAATTAAATAAAAAAGTTTAGTAACATCCAACTAGAACATGTAAAGAATAAACTCTCAAGTGTATCGCTCCTGTGTTGTGACTACGATTACAGCCAGAGTTCACTTCCTTGCTGCTATTCTAACTTAGTCCTGCAGACACCACTTTCAATTAACAGCCCAATACAGAAAGACTTCGGATTTATGCACCTGACAAAATGCCTACCCTACCTACACAGTTCACTTTAGATTCAATGCAATGTTTACCTCAGGATAAACCTAAAACAAAAAAAGCAACAGGTTTGCATCAACTTTCAAACAAATAGGTAGAAGACAAAGCTCTTCACACAACCATGTTATATAATTCTCTGTAGAAACCAAGAATTTTAAAAGGATCTTTTAATTTAAAAAAAAAAAGACCAAACCAAGAACACTTTGGGATGATATAATATGATGCGGCATGGACCAACAAAATCTCAGACAAAAGTCCTCCCCACACACTGAAAACCCATCAGCAGCAGACAGTGGAAAGCCTAGAAATTTGCCCCGTAATTTCCCAGTCAGACTGAAAGCTTGAGCCTTGCTGGGCTTTAAACATTACACAGTCGCAGAAAGTACTGCTTCCCCTGGCTAAAGTACAGACCTGTTTTTTAATATTAACTTATTTTGAATATATGTGGCAAAAAAAATATACCCATCCCCCTAAAATATAGCTTTCTCAAAATTACCAATCAGCCAGAGGCTGCAATGAAAACAGAACTACTGCTTGTTTCACTTTTGTAAAGCATGACTGCTTACTCACTCAAATCCATAGTATAGCTCCCTGATCATCCCAGAGCTCACAAGAACTTAGCAGTGAATACAATGCTTCCATAGTGAAAGCATTAAAGAACAGCTAACAGAACAGGAAAACAAAAACACTCTTTGCATGAAGTTCCAAATGCTTCTTATACTCAGATTCAGCACTTCCCAAGGTGACTAGGTGGTTCCATATATAAGAAATACTTTCCATGATTTTAACTCACACACCCAAGAGCCCCAAGCTGCTGTGTAAGTGAAGGAGTGGCTTTCCCTCACATATCTCATCAAGCTAAAAAAAAATAAATATCCGTAATCCTTACACCAGAGATTGTGTTGGGTATTTTTAAGAAGAAGAGGAGATGTTACAGAGATTGTAAGAATTAATGAGATAGGAGTGTGGAGGAGATGGATGATGGATGGCATTCCAGCATGATTCTGTGGAAGCAGAGGTGCACTGACTGGTGTGCCTGGGTGCCCTGCTCCCTCCAACCCTCCAAGAGGGTTTCTCATGCAAGTGCTACAGTCTGGCACTGCTAGACTCTAACCAAATCTGGAAACAGACATCACTGCCGGGCTGTCCGCTAAATTCCCAATCCTTGTTTTGCCCCATCCCCCCAGCTATCCCAAAGCAACAGGCTCCTGGGTAAGCCAGCCTTTGGACATGCTTCATATGGGTCTCCTGACTGGGAAACACCAGCACTTTTGGTTTTCATCAGCTACATCTTTGCAAAAGTGAGTTGAGAAAATCAAAGGTTTGCATTATGCATATTAACTAATACATGTATAAGCAGAAACAGCTACTCAGGTTCTCTGTGTTGATTCCATTTACTAGGTAGACAGATAAACACCATTTTTGTTTAGGTTATCTGTAAAAATTGATTCTGTCTAGAAGCACAGCAGAAAGCTCTAGCATACAAAAATAAACATAGAAAATGCATTCATAAATTGGATTGAAAATTATTATCATTTTCAATACAAATTACTGAATTAACTCCTCTGATAAAGAAATTATTAGAAAGTTAATGTCTAAAAGTGATAAAATTAATTGCTTCAGGGGGTGGTTCCTGATTGTATTTCCCTATGGTAGTTATTATCAGATATTATTGCCACTTCTACCTGCAGGAGACTTTATTTACATGATTTATAAAATCTTTGACAAACAAGTCTGGACTTTCTGTATTAACTGTAGTTTGGACAAAAAAGAACCTGGCAGCACCTCCTGAGTTTTCCTTGATATTAGTATGCCCTGATGTAAGCAACATAGCTGTCTCCTGTAAGCCATGCTGCCTGTTGAACAGCCCATCCTATGTGTTAATAGATTGCTTGGAGTGCAGCCCTGCATTCCAATGAAACCATCTCCTCTGAAAATGCATCTGTTTTCCCATCAGGGATACCAAAAGCTATCCATTTATGGTATTTTTTTCCCCCAATTATGTGTATAATTTGAGGTAAAACCCCAAATTGATTCAATATTTAAAGCATCTCTAAGTAGTGATGGTTTAAACTAGGAGTACGGTCACCACAAATATTTGCGTTTATATAGGTACATAAAAACCATCACCCATGACAAAATTAGAAAGAATTCCCTTTGTCTCATCTGTTAGTGCATCATCCCCCAGCAGGCATTCATACCCTCACCAGGACTTAAGCTCGACAAACCAAACCATGAAAAATTCACAACTTGCTTTTAAAAGCAAGTATATACTCTAGTAAATAGAGTTATTAGAAATTCTTCCCACACTGCTGAAGAACCTAGACTTCTTCCCCATTAATATTAATTTGAAATCCAGTTTCTACACCTTCTGACATATTTACTTGTAATTTTACTGGTTTGTTCCATGAAAAGAAAAAAAGATAGGACAGAAGGTCTGAAATGTTTTGTTACTGCTGTCAGAGCATTTGAAATGCTTCTGTTGAATACAAACCCTTATGCTGTCATTCAGACCACATTCCCTTTGTCAGACAATACCAGGCTGCTGCACGACTACGTGACAGTGATCAGAAGCATATCTATACGCCCAACTCGTGAGGACTGAGAAACAGAAACAGACAAGTGCTATAAAACTGTGGCTACCTTATAGCAATATCTGCATTTTAAAAAACAATACCACCAGAAATCTGCTTATCCCAATAAAATATTCTTTTACACCTTTTACTGTTTGAAAAAAAACTTATCAAAAGTGACAAATCAGAATATAAAAAGCATTTATCACATGAAAAAATTTACTTCTGCATGGTAGCTTTAAACTATGATAAATCTCAAATATCAGTCCCAACTGTACCTGCCACAGAATACTGATGAATTAAAAAAAAAAAACCCCGAAGATGTCATTACCAAAAGGTCTTGAAATTTCCCCCGAAGAAATTTATTGGCAGAGTCTAGACAGGTTGATTGTAACCTGGCTGATTTCCCTTGTCTGCTCTTGTCTCTATCAGCACAGGTTCCTCATTAGAAATAAAATGGGGAGATACAAACATGAAAATGCTGTTATTTACTGAAGGACTCTCAAATTGCATTATTGTACTCTTCAGTAACATTGATTCCTACAGTTTAGAAAATGCTTATCTTTTTAATCCCACAGAAAAAAACTCATTATTTAATAGACTTTTCTTCTGTTTTTTTTAGATATAATTCCACTATTTTTTCCCAAGTTTTCCCATAATCAAGCCTCTGGGTATATTGCTAAAACATCACTGAAAGCCATAGCATGCTGGCAGAAACCAATAGAGAAAATAAATCAAGAAATCCTAACTTTTACTGCTGCTATCTAATACAGAACTAAAAAACTTAAATTATTTCCTCAATTCTTCTAACCAAACAGTTAATGCAAATGAAGGGAATATGCTTTCATTTTAAAAACACTCCTTTCATTGAATTTATTTTCTATGCCTCAGTCAGTACCAGGGAAACATCACCACCTGAAGAGGAGAGATAACTACATCAAGATGAGCTTATAGATCTCTATGGCTGATCCTATCCAATTTTCACTGAGAGCTGCTAGATTTAGAGATATCATCTTCTTTTTATTTATTTGCATTTTAAAATAATTTTCAAGGAAGGCAACTTAAGCTCTTGCACTAACATTTGTTCTACCAAACAAATCCCTTAAGCTCCTTGGGCAATGAATGTGTGAGTGACTCATGACTTCTCATAAGAGATTCATTACAAAGCTGGACAGCTTCCTTACATGAGACAGAGCATCAGATGGATGGGGGACTTCCCGCATCAATCCATTTGGGAGATGCACGGTAGGTTGGTGAAAAAAAACAGAAGTATCATTTTATATGTGATACTTGCAAAAATCAAATGCAAATCTACCTTTGATCACCTTATGTTTATCTAAATATCTATCCAGGGACAACTATGTCATACACATAGCAATACCAATAAGCCATGATAGCATCGATTCTGATTTGTGAAAAAGAAACTTTGTGAAGGACCTGCTGGAAATCTAAAAGGTCATTCTAAATTAAAGTTTCAAAACAAAAGATGAGCCAGAGAAAATGAACTGTGAAAATTGTAAACTGGCATGATCTTGTATTCACCTCTCTCTCTTTCCACTGAAAATTAATCAAAATCCATCCTTAAAAGCAAGTTTCCATTTTCCTCTAATATCTTTAAACATCAGATTGCCACAGGAAGAGTCACATACTCACATTCTACAAAAACCTCATTGCTTCTACATGACAACTACCCTGCTATCTTGAAAACACATCTATGACAATACAAACTCACCAAAATACATGGATTTTTTCTGAAAGAGAAGAGCAGTGTAGAGAGAACTCACTATTTTGCCAAGTAAATATTAGTTTAATTGACTGCTTTATCTATTGAAGCACAGAAAAACCATCTCATCATGTGAGAATGACCTGTCTTTAGAGAATCCAATTTCGGAAAACTCATCATCTCAGATGACTGAGTGTGGCTGTTGTGACCTGGACAGCTCAGTTGGCAATGAATGTTTATTTAGATTTATAACAACAAAATACAGACAAGCATGAGTCAAGGACAGTAGGTAACATACCCACAAACAAAAATAAAGAAAAATACAAGAGGAAGATCTGCAATTTTATATATTCAAATGTATACATATCTATGTATGTTCAATATATATTTGGACAAGATAGACAATATCTATACATACAGATGACACATATATTGGGCATATATATATATGTGTGTATAGAAAGCTGCAGAATTTCCTGCTACATTCTTCTTCAACATGTATATTGTTCATATGTGTGTGTACATATGTGCATGTACATGTATGCATGCATGTTTGTATGTGACTACACAGATGTAGGGAGAGAATGTAGTAACGAATAGTAGTAGCTAATTGAGAAAAAGAAATCTAGCCAACTCTGCTTTTCTCCTTTAAAAACCCATGTCTGTTCAAGTGCTCTTCTGCAGAACCTTGCTCTCCAATGCGACTTGAATATTCATAAAATGGAAATTGCTAATTACAGATCAGGATGTAAGTCCAAATGGAAAATGGTTATGTCCTTAGTTTCTAAAAAACAAGAATCATTCAAGGAACAACTAAGCTGATTCACTAAGCACTGTACTACTTGTGAATTTTGCACCTCAGCCCCTTACCTTTCATAATGCTTCTGCTATATTGGTCAAATTTCCCTAAACTCAAATTGTAAAGACTTGAGGACATTGGATTTATTCATCAAACAATTACTAGATTATAGTTATTGAAGCTCCTCTGAAATTTGACTTTCACTTCACCGAGCTGAGAAAGCAGATGTAACAATACAAGTTCTCCCTTCCCTTTAACAGCATGAGCTTTGTGTACATTCTCTGTGGCAGGAATTTGCTAAGAAACACTGCCTCTTGGCAATTTTTTAGCAATCAGATTGGCCAAAAACAATACTGTGTTTTAGCATGAATGGACAAGGTTGACAGAAAGATCTATCAGCTGTTCAGCCCACACTGCTGTACAAATGAGAAGATGATTGGAATATTAATTTCCATTAAACAGAAAAGCTACTCATTTTTGTACAATTACTAGCAGGCAAATAAACCATAGCTAGACTAGAATATTATGAAAAATCTTTCATTTTTTCATCTTTAACTGTGCATTTGAGGACAAAAGACCAAATCCACTTCTTAGATGCCTCTTCATCCTTTCCCTGATGAATAGTATCTTACAGTTTTTACTTTGCAATGTGAATGTGGAAATGGATTTGATGCTTAACTACAGGAATCCCAAATTCAATTTTACTATTTTTTGTCCTCTGTTTGGGATTTGTTAGGCTCTGTCAGCTTTGAAGCAAATGACATGCTGAATTCTTTTTCAGACAAAATATTTTTGAAAGATTCATGTACATATGAATTCATGCACATCCTAGAACCATCTAAGGCACTATCTCCATGAATTCATCTGCTTGAATGACACTACACGGTTTGAAGCTGCTTAGGCAATAAATTTAAATAAAGTTTAGCTGCATAATTACATTGTGAAAAATGTCAGTATTTTGATATTCCATAAATTTATTCACCAACCATATTGCAATATTTAGAAGCATTCTAAAATGAAGGGTTTGCATTACATTTTCTATTCATCTGCTCACCTTATATTTTTCAGTATTTTAAATGGACATGTAGAAAACTTATTCTGAAGAAAAATTAATGCAGCCTCAACTAGGCTACAGTGTATTTCAAAAGAAGCAGAATATAGTTGGTTAGAATACCAAGATTTGCCTATCATCTACCGAAAGACATTTTTTACTGCACAGCATCAACAGAACTAGAAAGGAAAGCCAAGAGTTTATGCCATGGTATAATAGAGCTGATTCCTTACAATTACCTGGCTGTCATTTTAGCCCCATTTCATGTCAGCTGAGTGGCTCCTTTCAACAAACAATGTGTCTAGTGGAAAAGAGGAGATACTCTCAGCTTATCTCTTCTCTGATGTGCTAGTTTCACAAGTGATGCTAAATGGAAATCTTTCCTGACCATATTTATAAGAAGATTGCTCTCAAGAATGAAGTGTTTGTTGGCACAGCATCACTGTAATGCATGTCTGCCTTATTCACTATGATTTATGATTTTTCATGCTGTTCTTAATTGCAGAAATCTTGAACACCGCTCCCTCCAAGGATTAATTTTGAAAAGCTACGAATCATCTGATACAATATTGTTATTTGTAAGTGTAATTCTATCCATCTATTTGGCTGGAGAATTAATCCACACGCTTGCCTTTTTATTTCCTCAGTAGCACCAAATAGAAAATAATTGCATAGATTTATAAATATTCCCAAATAGGTGGATGTGCTAATATATATACAATTTGACATTTTTCTTGAGGTTACACAATGACTTTCTTTACTAAGGTGGAAGTGCTATATGTTGAATGTTATCTAGTCCAAGCACACCACTGCTCTCAGAAACTTCTGTATTGGCAGGAAAATCCCCATTTTTTAGACTCCTCAGATAAATAGTTCTGCTACAGGGAAGGGTTTTAGTTCTGTAAAACAGTTTGACAATAAGAACAGACTGTTAAGGTCCCACTCTTTCGTTAGACTAGAACATACCTGGCATGCTGATGGATGACTGTGATTGAGGTCCCACTGGGAAGATACTATGTCAACAGACTTTTCAGCCATATTAAGCAAATTCATCCAGCCTTGGAAAAGAGACAAATGGGATGGTGCACTGTCTGAATAGTTGATCCCTTCAGGAATATTTTCCACAAGAGCAACCCTGAGAATAGATAAGGAAAAAATAACCACTTAACAAATGCACTTTATTATAAGGTTCCAAATTGTAAAGAACTTCAGGTTTTGGGCCTGGGGTTCAACATCTGCTCCCAGAGGCTCTCAGCAGTTTGCCACCCTGCAACTCTCTCTGAGGCATCTGACTGTCATGCTCCACACTTCCCAGAACAATGAAGTGCAGAAGTGACCTACTACTAATGCAGCAAAGTCAATTAAGCTTTCAAAGCTCTGAAAAATTAGCTTACACAGGAAAAATGTTATTTCTTACAGTACAAGTAAACAGGAATCAGTCCTTAAAGTGAAGATGGGAAGAATGAAACAAGCTCCTCTTGTTTTGCCACTCCTCTCTGAATATATTCTCTTCTCTCTAAGGAATGTGGCAAGATGTATGCTCCCTGGAATTCTCCTAGGTCTGCTTTTACACCCGACATTTTATTACATTGCCATCTCTACATATGAATTCTCCTTTTCCAACTGCTCTAAGCTACCCAATTTTTCTGTTTGGTTTTCTGTTTGGTTCTGTTTGTGTAAGGTTCTAACTGGGACCCAGTGGTTAAAAAAAGAATTATGACCTTTTAGTTTCTTGCTCTTTTTGGAAAGCTCTTTGATCTTACTGTCTAGAGTATTCAAAACATTTTCAAATTAGGGTACATAAATTCATATGGATACAATCGCACCCAGAAAGCCGAACAAGCATGGTAGTAAACTGTCAGCTTAAAACATGCTTCTTTGCTTCAGGGAAATGTGTTTCATTCAGCACACCACATCACCGCTAGATTTCCTTAAATTGCAGCAGGTAAAGCTTCCTTCTACACTCAGTAGAGGAATTTGAAAATTAAATGAAGTCAAACAAGTTCTTAAATTCTGCCTTTTGGTAAATAGAATAAATATTCATATAAATGACCCCAACACCTGCCACTTCTACTGTGAATGATACAAACCAGATGTAGGAAAGCTGTAATAGGAACTCAGGGAAGTCTTCTACTATATACATTAAGCATTTCTACACTCTTTTTGTACCTGTCAATAGTGTTAATTATCAACTCCAGTAATATGAATATAATTTGTCAACTTTAAGTAAATTATTATTACAAAACTATTGGGTAAAAGAGAATTGAACATGTTTTGACTCTTCGAAAAACAGATTAGTGCAGAATCTTCTATTAATTCTGTTCATCCTAGACAGTTCACATGCAAACTTTTACAGCTATTTCAGAATATCAAGCATTAAAAGACTGAAGATTGTTGCTCTTAAACAATGCTAAGAAAACCCAGCAAGAATTGTGATAAACCCATGGCCATTATCACGCTTTCAATCTCCTGGCCAGGCAAAAAATCCCACCACCCAAACCAGAACAGGCACAGCTCCTCCTGTATGTTCTCTTATTCCCCCAAATCTGTCAAACAACATAGGTCTCACTAAGCTGCAATTACCAATGACAGTCTCCACAATTTACTTTGGACACACTATTCTATTTATTAACATAAAACTTATCTACATTGCAGTAATGGAGTTGGAAATCAACAAATAAGCTGTAAAATGTTAAAAACACAACTAGATTTTTTAAAATTACTTTAAAGTACATTTTATTCTAAAACATTCCTCCTACCTTGTTCACAAACTTTCTGAAATAACTAGTGCGCTAAAAATTGAGTGTCCTTTTAAAAAAATATTTAAAAATAAATTATTTTAGTCTAACACTCAGGGGTTTAGGCTTACTTTTGCCAATAATACTGTTACAAAACTTCATAAAACTCTGGTTAGATCCCTTGAAAGCCTGGCTTGTTCTTTTTCAGTAGTTAGCATTACTAATCATATTGCAGCTCTTAGCATGCCCATGTTTCCAGAATACTTTTATGGAGAGTCGGAGGAAGGCCACCTTCAAAGAGCAAGAAACTGACACTGAGAAAATAAAGTGATCTCTACAAGGACATGAAACACCCTCCCTCCTAATCCAGTTGCAAAGATCAGAAATTAATGCATCTTTTTCTGAAATCCTCCATCGCCAACTCAAACATGTCTAGATACAGGAGTTATTCCGAGTATGCTTTAAAGACATTCTTAATACCAAATAATTATTCAAAAATAAAATAATGTCAAATGTAGTTCTGATTTAGCTAGAATTTGAAAGTGCATATCACTCTCTTGAACCAGTAGCAACCAAAAATTTTCCAATGTTAGAATATTGCATGACATACACAGTGTTTTCCAGTGGAGCCCATGCAAATGAATTACACAGGAGTCCACAAACTAACTGATAGGACTGAATCTGTCACAGACACTTCTAGTTGTTTTTAGTAGTGCTTCCTATAGGCTGTACTGAACTTGTGTATCACTGGGAAGCATTAGCTTAACTTCCACTTTTCCTGTCTCTTTCTCTGGCAAGTTGAGAGCTGCCAAAAACCTAACCCTGCCACAGAAGGGCTAAGATGATCTGGAGGTCATGTAGCTCAACCCTCTTTGTCAAAGGAGGGTCAATGCCAGCAGGTTGATCAGGACACTATCCAGCCAAGTTTTTTGCATATCTCCAAATTTCCAAATCCAAAACTCATCATATTTGAGATGATGGACCTGACACAGCCAAACACATACATGTTTATTTCTGATTCCACGTTATTTAGGTGTACATTAAACTTTTAATGCAGGAAGAGTTGTGGGTCATTGCTGTTCACATATATTTTCTTACAGATACCATCAAGATACACACAAAAGTTGGGCTCTTCCTTATTTCTCATGGGTTAAAATCTTTTACTTTTTCTAAGAAAGTAGCAAGGAAAATTTACTGGGCAATAAGGAATTCAGCTCCTCCTAAAAGGGCCCTTGTCAAGGACAAGGTGCCTCTTAGCAAGGATGTTTGTCCTGACCATTGGAATGAACTTGCCCTTCACTGGGAGAACATCTCCCAACTTCTAAATCTGAGTAGCATTCACCAGGCTATGGCACCAGCACTAAATAACACATGACACGCTGCACAGCTCCTGCCATTATTTAATTTGGGTTTGGTTGTCCAGTAGAAGCCAAATGCATTCAAGCCAACAAAATTGTTATTCAGAACAGACACTACTTGGTAATATTTTTCCTACTCTTCTGTTTTACCAAATAGCAAGTACAGGGAAGTGGTCACAGCACCAAGCCTGAGAAGTCTGAGAAACGTTTGGACAGTGTTCTCAGGTGCATCATGCGATTCTTGGGATATCCTGTGTAGGGCCAGGAGCTGGAGTCAATGATCCTGACGTGGCCCTTCCAACTCATCATATTGTATGACTGTGTTCTTTAGGAAAAATAAAATGAAAAAAGAAAGGGAAAAAAAAGACATTTCATCTAGCTACAGCACAAGTTAAAAATTTGTTTTCAGAGAGTAGATTTCTCTTTAATAATAAATTAATTCTGCCATAAACTTCCAATGTTAAAACCTAACACCAAGCTCAGAAGTAATACACAAAGCCAAGCACCAAGTTTTTATACTAAGTGATTTTGCCTTTATAATATTCCCTTTTTGTCTGGAACAATAGCAAAGCTCTAGTGCTTAGTCAAGATGAGTTTTGTTAAAACTTCTGTGCAAAAATTTGAGTTTGAAAGCCCCAATTCTTTCAATAAAAGCTAAATTTAGCTTTCATTTTTGTTCCAAAATGACCCACAAAGAGGTTCTTCAAACACAGTATTACAAAAACTTCTGGGAGAGAAGGTCATTCAGACCTTGAGGAAAGTTAGACATGGTGACATAATTTATTCTGCAAAACTGGCATATTAACAATGCAAAACACAAATGTACCATAGTGATTAAAACAGATTTTTCCTATCCTCAAAATCATTACCAGATAACTTTATACCTGTTGAATGAAAATGTCATTCCCCTCTCTGATTTTCTGGTGCTCTGCTACATCTGATAATGCCAACATAGGCTTGTCTCTTCAGTTTTACACTGAAACTGTAAAAAACTACCTCACACAGACTGAGAAAGTACAATTTCTGTGAAAGTTAGACAGAGAGACAAGGGTCAGAGTGAGATTGAAGCTCCTCTTAGCTAACAGAAATGGGGCAATAGAACGGTATTTAATGCCTACCACAGAATAGACCATGACCTCAATAATAAGACTTTTCTGAGCTCAGCTATGACTTGCATTTAGCAATTCCAAGCTAATTCTGTACCCAGTTAAGGATTCTTCTTCATCTTTGGCTGTTCTTTGGTCAGAAAGCAAGAAGTTTTTTTCTGATCTCACACCAATTTGTTCCTCAGAAGGAAATAGAGGCTCTTAATTTAGCATATGGATTAATTAGAGTAGAGAGGGCTAGGACAGTAGATAGGCAGATGCTGTATGTCTGTCTCTTGAAAAAATTTGGGGCTATTGGCAGAAATTTATAGCTCTGTTGGAAAATTTAGCTCTAACAATTCTACTAGTATAAAAGGAAATTTTTTTGATGTTTCACAACACATTAAAACAATAAACTCTGGAACATTGTTCACTCCAGTTTGTCTCAATCCACAGTCATCCACTAAAGAAAATCCAGGTCATATGCACTTGAGCATCTCTGTATCATCTGAATTTACTCACCATTAGAGAGAATAAACTTAGCAAGAAAACACTACAATGATTGAGACATAATAAATAAACAAAAGACAAACAAAGTCTTTGACATAAGGTTGCTCTATTTCAGACAAGGGAGAGAAAAAAAGAGAAAATAATCTAGAAAGGTGCATGAGTCCTGCCCTTGTGCTAGGGTCCTTTTTAAAGATACCCTCTTGTGACCCCTTTTTCTTTCTTTCTTAATCCAGAAGCCCTGGAATCACCATCCCCTAGCCTGAAGGACTACATAGAAAATTTCCTAAAATATTAGAGAATGTACAGCACAACCATATTTGGTTATTCGACTTAAAGACAGTGATAATGATTTGGAAGATCAAGTGCAATAACTCTGCTTTGAGATCAGAACTGGAGCATAAAGGTATCCAGTGTATTTGGATAATTGCATGGCATATCCAGTAA